GCGGCACTTTTATATCCCTTTAAACTACGCAAACTGTATTACGATTTTCTCAAAAACTGTGGAAATTTTTTATCAAATTTTCCAGAAACATTACTAAAACATCCCTACATACGCCTATATACACGGCATTTTGGCACACGCTCTGTCCTTTTTTTGTATGGGCTGATTCAGACGCTTGCCCACTGTAAACCGTTCGAAACGGTTGGAATTGTTCACAAATGGGAAACTCCGATTCCCACTAACCACATCCACCATCAGATAACAACTGACCTGAACAGCTGTGGCTAATCAAAACATAAGCAAACATTGTTGAAGTGGATTCTGCAAGACTAAAAGGGACAATTTACCAACTATTTTGCAAAATCTGAAGTTGCATTACCTTTTACTGGCCGTCAATTCAGATGAGTGGAATGACGACGACTCTGAGGTGTACGAAAGCATTTTTTCTGCAAAAAAATTCACAAGGTGCTGCTTATTAGGGACTCTTCCTTTCGAATATCCGAAACGTTGATTAAGCCATACAGCCTAGTGTAAAAACTTTAATCTTTCCAGTGTGACCGAAATTTCGAGAGCTAATCCGAACTGAGCGTACTATGGTCTTATTGTCAATCAGCTGGGTTTGTTGATAAGCAGTTAAAATTCAAATATTGTATTTGGGGGAACGAGCCTTTATCAACTACGTTGGCAAGGCAAGTCTGCCGGTCTACAAAGAAATTAAAAAACAATACAATTTAAATTTTTGTTGTTTTTTTGTAATTTACTGATAAATATTTGCTAATTTAAAGTTCATAGCTATACTTTTGTTGTGTTTTTTCGTACATTTTTGACCTAAGAAACACTTTGCTCTGACAAGAGGCACCCCATAGTATTAATGTTATTTTGTCCTCACATGTAAACTTCTGCAATCGACTTTTGCGGGTTTTTTGATTTTTTCCCTCCATTTTTTAAAATGTTCAGTTAGAAGCGCACGCCAAAAGATTACATTTTTTAATCTTTGCGCTAGGGTTCGCCAAAAGTTCTTTTAAGGTAAAATCTAAATCGTCGATCTGAGTACCGAGTTGAAAAAAAGCATGACGAAAAGTGAACGCCAGCTGTTTGCCTCTCGCTCTCTCTCATGACTGGCGTACAGTTTTCGTTTATCTGAGTACTAGGCTTTCCTATTTTCCACATCACAAAGCTAGGCGAGTAAACGAAAATACAATTGTCTATTTAAAGGCAAAGTTTTAGTTCACTGGGAAGGGTCTTGACAAGAGTAATAATGCAGTCTCGCACAACGTTTTTAATGAGCACAACATCGCTATAAATGATATTTGGCAACAGACTGAAAGCGACCAACAAAATCCGACTAATATGTCTGCAGAAAAAATAAGAACAGCCCAATACTGTCTAATAGGTAAACAAAAAGTTTATTAAATACAAATATGTTGGTTTTTTGTTTTAATATAATTTCATATTTTTTTATATTTAAATTAACCCATTTATTGTACATTTTTGTTGCACGCATACAAGTTACCTGCACTTCCTGGTCAGGTTTTCAATTTTTTTCCGGACAACTAAATTTTTCAGGCCTCCCCGCAACTGCTCGATGTTCTACTGCCAAATGCCGATCAACAGGAGCCCCATCTGCACAGTCCACCTATCTGCATCCGTTTAACGGATGGTGGATGAATCTCTGTGGCAAGACTACTTCCACTGAACAGCGAGCATATATTAAAGTATAGTACTCAGAACGATGAAAAATGTTCGTCAGCTATAAGGGAGACCACAAACACTTTTCGTCAGACCCTTCTCTCACCGCAATGAGTTTGGGTGCACGTTCGTCAGGCCCTTGCGATTAAAAAAAGGGGTGTGTCCAGCCTACGTACGACAGAAGTGAAACCTCTCACCCTGTTTTCTACTGCTGTAAATGAATTCGTTTAGGTACAGAAATGATTTCGGCTTAAAAATCGTCTTTTCGCTCAAGTACGCATACAAATCATTTAAATGTCCGTGCCGGCTGGCGGATCCTCCGCGGCAGGGGTAGAGCCGGTAGGTGATAAATCCGTAGGGGGGTGGCAGTAGAATACTGCCCGCTGATTGATTGTTGGCGGCCACCAAGATTGGCAGCCACAGCGGAGTCGGGTGGTAGCTTCGACTCCTTTGCTTCTTCCGAAGTATACGGTGGGAGATACTTATCTCCGATGTCACGGCCCTTAAGGCACGATAACCAAATTCAATAATCAAAATAATGTAACGGCTAAGGCCGGAGTTTTATGAACGAGCTGGAGCTCTTTATTTCAAATCCAAATTAAAAACTGAACTTAAGATTGAACAAAAGCTCATGCATAGCCGGATGCCCGTGGCAGACCGCTGACCTTGCACATTTTGCAGAAGTCATACGATCGTTGTCAGCCAATGAAAAGGAGCCACGGCTCGGAATGGTACAATGTGCTGGCTCAGCTCTAGGGCCAATAAGTCGGACCCGATTTAGGGTGGACCATGCATGAGGGAGAAATGTAATAATAATATTGATAATAATAAAAAGTGATTAATACTAGGGAATGACAAACATGATAAATGATTAATATTAATAAGGTAAGTAAGAACTGTCCTGCTCAGCCTAAGCTGGGGGTCGGTTGTTAACTACTCCCCCTTAAATTGGACGCCGTCCTCGGTGACAGCCAGTTCGTCGATGGACTTTTGTAGCTGGGCTGCCTCTCGTTTGCGCCTGCAGTGTTGTTGGAGCAGGACCAAGCCGCATAGCGTGAGGCTGACGGCAACTCCTGCGGCGAACCAAATCCTCGGGGAACCTCCCTCCGACACGTCATCCCGTAGCTCCTGCATTAAACGCAGGTTATGCTCGTTCATCCGCTGTAGCAATGGTAGGCTCAGTATGTGATCGTGTCCCGTGATGTTAATTAAGGGGGAGGCCGCAATACCCGGGCTCATATTCACTGAGTGGTTGAGGTTCAAATATACGGAGTCGTTGATCGCCGCCTTTCTCTCAAAAGTAATGAGGTGGGTCCCTATTATGGTCGTTGTGGGACCGTCATCGATGGTAATCCTCGTCAGTTTCTCATTAATGATAATTACTCCGTCGTCCACAATTGTAAGGGGTTCCAGATTGCTGGGCCGCGTCCGGCATGTAGCCGCCCCGCCTGCATGTAACTGCTTGGCACAGGTGTCTTGGGGCGCTTTTTTGCAAAATGTGGCCAAATTGGTAGAAGTGCAATCTGAGACTGCTAGGATTCCGTCATCACATTCAGCCACGATGTTGTTTTCTATTTGTAGCATAGTATGGTAATGTGCAACAGGGAAGAGCAGGACCTTTTTACAAATACGCTTAACTCTAGGATACTGGACTATAACGTGGACAAGAACATTATTTTGAAGAATTTTAATCTTAGATACATCCATAAGGCTAACTATAGGGACCTCTGTTAGCTGTTCGTCGAAAATAGCCTTTAGGTCATTGTGATTAAAAATGGTAGGATTGATGATATTATTTTTAGCAAGAGTGATGGTGATCATGCAATTCTGGATTTCTGATATTAACATTCTATTCCTGGCAAGGAGTGTTTCATACAGTTCTAGCATTTTGATTGTGGAGTCGATAATAATGGCAAACTCGGACAGATTTGTCGAGTGCCTGACCAGGCCGTACTGTTCCCATATTAAGACATTGCCATCTAGCACCGGGATGTATTTAGCGTGCGAGAAATCAGTGATTCTCGCGCTCGCGGTGGACAGCAGTATGATGCATATAATGGAGAGCCTGTGGGAATTTAGCAAAGATTGGGTTTTAATATAAGGGCGACTGTGGCGAGTGGAGTGCCTACCTAATGTTGTCCTTATGGACCACCCTCCCCTTAATGAGAACAGATGTTCCCAGATCTGCTTCTACACGCTCTTCTGAATAAAGCGGTGTCAATTTTTTCCCTAATCTTTTGTTGTTGCGAAGGTGTACTCTTTCGCCGACTTCGAAGACTCTGTTTTGCCTAGAAGGATTAATCCTATCTAGGTTGGATTGTTGTGCTTTGTCAATCTTGGCTTTAATTGCCAGCTTCATCTCATCGCTGCTTGCGTGGATGACCTCTATCGGCCTAGACTCTGTGACCGAATGTAGCGACCTGTTGTATTCTATAGTAGACCTCAATATTAGTTCCACAGTGTCCTCGATTTTTTTTATCAATTTTGAGGCATCTGGCAATTTCCGCCAGGGTACTGTGAAATCTCTCAACTTGGCCATTGGAGCTACTGTGTAGCGGTGGCGCATTGACAACGTCGATGCTGTATTGGTTTTTCAGCAATGACGTGATTGTCTCTGAGTTAAAGGAGGCCTCATTGTCGCAGTATATAGTTTTGGTGTTAGAGTAAAAACTTACTAACTGAAGAATGGGTGCTCGTACATCTATTATTGCCCTGGAAATCAAGGGCTGTACGATAGCGAATTTGGAGAATTTATCCATGCAAGTTAAGAAAATTTTTTTGTCAGTCGAAAAAATGTCGATATGCAACATTTCCCCAACGTATGATGGGATGGGCGTAATTCCCAATTCCTGTTTCTTGGGATGGCGGTCGTATTTGGCTTTATTGCAGACCTTGCAATTTGCGACCACTTCGCTAGCTAATTTTGACATGTTCGGGAAGTAATAATCCCGGAGAATTTGTTTTGCGTTCTCCTGGGCAGCCCTATGGGCGCGATTGTGCTCGGTGTTAGTGATTTCCAACTGTTCATTAGCGTTGGTTATGTCACTGACAAAGGTTTTACAATGCCAGAACTTTGTCGCAGGAAAATCCTGCCTCAAGGCATGTTGGATGCGAGCCAGGGTAGGTAAATCGCAGTGAATCGCGTTCACAACGTTGGCGTTGATGATCTCTTTAACGGATTCAACAAGCAAGTCCTTGTTATTAAAATTGATGATATGACGAGTTCTATTTCCAAAGACTATGAAATCTCGCCGAAGCGGTTGGTCCGCTTCTTCCAAAATAATTTGGTTTCTAAAGCAGTTAAGAGGTTTATCTGTGGTATCTATGGTGTACGAGAGTGAAAGCTCACTATGCACCGTAGCCGCGTCAGACTGGGCTTCAGCCTCTAAGTTATTCAGGGGTTGCCTTGATAATGCGTCAGCTACCAGGTTTTGTTTTCCGGGTGTGTAAAATACTTTCCCGTTGTTCTCATCAATGAATGCTTTCCATCGCTTGATTTTAGCGTTGGTATTTTTGTCGGATACCGCATACGTGAGAAGAAGATCCGTACCTCATTGTTACCGTACAGGTAATTCTGGAGTTTGCCTATTGCCCAGACTATCGCCAATAATTCTCTTTCGTTTGTGGCGTAGTTCAGCTCGCAGTCTTTTAGCGTGCGTGAAATCATAGTAATAGGTCTTTTATTTTGGGACAGTACCGCGCCTATTCCACTCGCTGAGGCGTCAGTGGTTAAGTCAAACGGTGATTTGAAATCAGGGTATGTCAATATGACATCTTCGGATGCCAAAATGTTACGAAGGTGGTCGAATGCATTGCGCTGGGTTTCATTAAACCTGACAGCTACTTTTTTCGACATATTCTTGCTGACCGTCCCGTTTTCCCCTTTGAGGATGGCGGTCAGAGGTCTAGCAATAGATGCAAAGTTTTTTACAAAGCTTCTGTAATAGCTCGCCAGGCCTAGGAAGGACCTGAGGCTAAACAGATTTTTTGGTTCTGGGAACTCTTTTATTGCCCTAACCTTTTCTGGGTCTGTTTTTGTCCCTCCTCTGGTAACAATGAACCCTAGGAATTCAACGCTCTCTTTAAAGAACTTTGTTTTTTCTCGTGCCACCCTCATGTTGGCATCGAGTAGGCCCTTAAGCACCGTGTCAATATGCTTGACATGTTCCGTTTCGTTTTCGGAAAAGATGATAACATCGTCAACGTAGACGTAGCATATTTTGCCGATTTCTTCCCGCAGCACATCGTCGATGGCTCTTTGGAAAATACTCCCTGCGTTTTTTAGGCCGAAGGGTAGTCGGCAGAATTCGTACTTCCCACCATTAACTGAGAACGAGGTTTTCTCTCTGTCCTTTTCAGCCAGGTATATTTGCACCGTAGCCGCGTCAGACTGGGCTTCAGCCTCTAAGTTATTCAGGGGTTGCCTTGATAATGCGTCAGCTACCAGGTTTTGTTTTCCGGGTGTGTAAAATACTTTCCCGTTGTTCTCATCAATGAATGCTTTCCATCGCTTGATTTTAGCGTTGGTATTTTTGTCGGATACCGCATACGTGAGAGGCTGGTGGTCTGTGAAGATCCGTACCTCATTGTTACCGTACAGGTAATTCTGGAGTTTGCCTATTGCCCAGACTATCGCCAATAATTCTCTTTCGTTTGTGGCGTAGTTCAGCTCGCAGTCTTTTAGCGTGGGTGAAATCATAGTAATAGGTCTTTTATTTTGGGACAGTACCGCGCCTATTCCACTCGCTGAGGCGTCAGTGGTTAAGTCAAACGGTGATTTGAAATCAGGGTATGTCAATATGACATCTTCGGATGCCAAAATGTTACGAAGGTGGTCGAATGCATTGCGCTGGGTTTCATTAAACCTGACAGCTACTTTTTCGACATATTCTTGCTGACCGTCCCGTTTTCCCCTTTGAGGATGGCGGTCAGAGGTCTAGCAATAGATGCAAAGTTTTTTACAAAGCTTCTGTAATAGCTCGCCAGGCCTAGGAAGGACCTGAGGCTAAACAGATTTTTTGGTTCTGGGAACTCTTTTATTGCCCTAACCTTTTCTGGGTCTGTTTTTGTCCCTCCTCTGGTAACAATGAACCCTAGGAATTCAACGCTCTCTTTAAAGAACTTTGTTTTTTCTCGTGCCACCCTCATGTTGGCATCGAGTAGGCGCTTAAGCACCGTGTCAATATGCTTGACATGTTCCGTTTCGTTTTCGGAAAAGATGATAACATCGTCAACGTAGACGTAGCATATTTTGCCGATTTCTTCCCGCAGCACATCGTCGATGGCTCTTTGGAAAATACTCCCTGCGTTTTTTAGGCCGAAGGGTAGTCGGCAGAATTCGTACTTCCCACCATTAACTGAGAACAAGGTTTTCTCTCTGTCCTTTTCAGCCAGGTATATTTGGTGGTACCCTGACTTCAGGTCTAGGGTAGTAAAAAATTTGGCTTTTCCCAAGTTCGCTAGAATCATGGGTATGCTCGGCATGGGATAGCGATCGGCGACTGTTCGCTCGTTCAGCTTCCTGAAATCGATTACTAATCGCTTCTTTCTACTGCCATTATCATCAGTCCCTTTTTTATCAACTACCCAGGCAGGGCTGTTGTATGGGGATCTGGACGGCCTGATTATGCCGTTTTGCAGCAGTTCTTTGATTTCGTTGTTTACAAAGTCTGCTGCCCCCATAGGGTAGGGGTATAACTTGGAGTAGACAGGTTCGTCACTCGTAGTTCGAATAGTAGCGATGACCGATGTGTTGAAGGTGAGCGCCTCGTTAGAGGTTGAAAACACCTTAATTCTTTTCAGAATAGTTATTTTGAATTCGGCTTTAGCCGAACTTGGCACCACTATGTCATCGATTTTTGTGAAATTGACATTTTGACAGTCAAAAAATTTGAGCTTTTCAGTGACATTTGCGTATTTTATCACGCTGCTGCCTAGGTCCAATGCTACTCCCGCTCGCGTTAGCGAATCGAAGCCTATTATAGCATCGAACGTGCTCAATGTATCCAAGAGGAAAAATGGGACGTCTAGTCCAAAAATGCGCATTATGCACTTGTATTTGACATCACTGGAGCCGTGAATAGAGCTCACAGTGAAGGGGGTTTCGACCGGCATTACGTTTCTTAGCTCCTTTACGGGCTTCACGTAATTTTTTGCCGCCCCGGTGTCGATGAGAATTTTTATTGATTTGCCAGCCAACTGTCGCTCGACGAACGGCAGTCGGGAACGCTCCCTAAAAAATGGAGGAGGTCGTTAAGCTCGGCGGAGTCGCTATCTCCCTCGATGGTGGCAACCTCGGCCTCAGCTGTGGTGGCATAATCCGTCGCCTCCTGTTGGGGTTGGGCTATATTGTTGACGCGTTGGCGTCTTTGGTCTGATTGACGCTGGGACGAGTTCTGCCTTTTGTAGTTGTTGTTATTTTGAGGCTTTCCCCAGCTTGTTTCTTGTCTAAATCTAGCCGTTGAGGGGTCTACCTCCATGGGTTGAACTTTATCCTGGTCTAGTGGCTCAGTATCCCTGTGCTTTGGCCAGGGATTGTTCTCATGAGATTTATTTTGGTTTTGTTTAGGGACAAAGTGCGGATTCTTATCCTCGCCTCTCCATTGCTTTCCCTGACTCTTACTATTGCGCCTGTTGCCCTCATTGCAATGGGACTTGTCTTCTATAGCTTTCGCGTAGGATGCCGCGAACGCACTTCTCTCAATGCTGTTCTCGGCCTCTCGCGCTAACGCTAGTGCAGACGGAAGGTCTTTGGGTTGTGCTGGCAGCACGAGTGACTTGAGTGGTCTTTTAAGCCCTGCAATGAATGCATGAAGGGCATCATCCCTAACCTCCTTATTTAGGATAGTTGCTGTGTCCGAGTTATGTGACATGACTATTTTGTTAGTGACAAGCGTGAGTTTCCTCTCGACCTCGTCATAGTATGCCATAAGATCGGAGTCTCCTTGCCGAACCATTTCTAAATTTTGCCGCAGCACTCTCAAGGACGTTTTGTCCGCATATGTGCAATCTAGTCTGGCTATAATTGCATCGAAGCTTAGCACTGTATTGTGGGACGTGAGTAGTGACCGAGCGGGTCCGCAAATTTTGTTTTTAATTATGACCACGGCCTCGTAGTGTGCCTCGCTGGTTCTGGGAACTCTTTTATTGCCCTAACCTTTTCTGGGTCTGTTTTTGTCCCTCCTCTGGTAACAATGAACCCTAGGAATTCAACGCTCTCTTTAAAGAACTTTGTTTTTTCTCGTGCCACCCTCATGTTGGCATCGAGTAGGCGCTTAAGCACCGTGTCAATATGCTTGACATGTTCCGTTTCGTTTTCGGAAAAGATGATAACATCGTCAACGTAGACGTAGCATATTTTGCCGATTTCTTCCCGCAGCACATCGTCGATGGCTCTTTGGAAAATACTCCCTGCGTTTTTTAGGCCGAAGGGTAGTCGGCAGAATTCGTACTTCCCACCATTAACTGAGAACGAGGTTTTCTCTCTGTCCTTTTCAGCCAGGTATATTTGCACCGTAGCCGCGTCAGACTGGGCTTCAGCCTCTAAGTTATTCAGGGGTTGCCTTGATAATGCGTCAGCTACCAGGTTTTGTTTTCCGGGTGTGTAAAATACTTTCCCGTTGTTCTCATCAATGAATGCTTTCCATCGCTTGATTTTAGCGTTGGTATTTTTGTCGGATACCGCATACGTGAGAGGCTGGTGGTCTGTGAAGATCCGTACCTCATTGTTACCGTACAGGTAATTCTGGAGTTTGCCTATTGCCCAGACTATCGCCAATAATTCTCTTTCGTTTGTGGCGTAGTTCAGCTCGCAGTCTTTTAGCGTGGGTGAAATCATAGTAATAGGTCTTTTATTTTGGGACAGTACCGCGCCTATTCCACTCGCTGAGGCGTCAGTGGTTAAGTCAAACGGTGATTTGAAATCAGGGTATGTCAATATGACATCTTCGGATGCCAAAATGTTACGAAGGTGGTCGAATGCATTGCGCTGGGTTTCATTAAACCTGACAGCTACTTTTTTCGACATATTCTTGCTGACCGTCCCGTTTTCCCCTTTGAGGATGGCGGTCAGAGGTCTAGCAATAGATGCAAAGTTTTTTACAAAGCTTCTGTAATAGCTCGCCAGGCCTAGGAAGGACCTGAGGCTAAACAGATTTTTTGGTTCTGGGAACTCTTTTATTGCCCTAACCTTTTCTGGGTCTGTTTTTGTCCCTCCTCTGGTAACAATGAACCCTAGGAATTCAACGCTCTCTTTAAAGAACTTTGTTTTTTCTCGTGCCACCCTCATGTTGGCATCGAGTAGGCGCTTAAGCACCGTGTCAATATGCTTGACATGTTCCGTTTCGTTTTCGGAAAAGATGATAACATCGTCAACGTAGACGTAGCATATTTTGCCGATTTCTTCCCGCAGCACATCGTCGATGGCTCTTTGGAAAATACTCCCTGCGTTTTTTAGGCCGAAGGGTAGTCGGCAGAATTCGTACTTCCCACCATTAACTGAGAACAAGGTTTTCTCTCTGTCCTTTTCAGCCAGGTATATTTGGTGGTACCCTGACTTCAGGTCTAGGGTAGTAAAAAATTTGGCTTTTCCCAAGTTCGCTAGAATCATGGCTATGCTCGGCATGGGATAGCGATCGGCGACTGTTCGCTCGTTCAGCTTCCTGAAATCGATTACTAATCGCTTCTTTCTACTGCCATTATCATCAGTCCCTTTTTTATCAACTACCCAGGCAGGGCTGTTGTATGGGGATCTGGACGGCCTGATTATGCCGTTTTGCAGCAGTTCTTTGATTTCGTTGTTTACAAAGTCTGCTGCCCCCATAGGGTAGGGGTATAACTTGGAGTAGACAGGTTCGTCACTCGTAGTTCGAATAGTAGCGATGACCGATGTGTTGAAGGTGAGCGCCTCGTTAGAGGTTGAAAACACCTTAATTCTTTTCAGAATAGTTATTTTGAATTCGGCTTTAGCCGAACTTGGTACCACTATGTCATCGATTTTTGTGAAATTGACATTTTGACAGTCAAAAAATTTGAGCTTTTCAGTGACATTTGCGTATTTTATCACGCTGCTGCCTAGGTCCAATGCTACTCCCGCTCGCGTTAGCGAATCGAAGCCTATTATAGCATCGAACGTGCTCAATGTATCCAAGAGGTAAAATGGGACGTCTAGTCCAAAAATGCGCATTATGCACTTGTATTTGACATCACTGGAGCCGTGAATAGAGCTCACAGTGAAGGGGGTTTCGACCGGCATTACGTTTCTTAGCTCCTTTACGGGCTTCACGTAATTTTTTGCCGCCCCGGTGTCGATGAGAATTTTTATTGATTTGCCAGCCAACTGTCGCTCGACGAACGGCAGTCGGGAACGCTCCCTAAAAAATGGAGGAGGTCGTTAAGCTCGGCGGAGTCGCTATCTCCCTCGATGGTGGCAACCTCGGCCTCAGCTGTGGTGGCATAATCCGTCGCCTCCTGTTGGGGTTGGGCTATATTGTTGACGCGTTGGCGTCTTTGGTCTGATTGACGCTGGGACGAGTTCTGCCTTTTGTAGTTGTTGTTATTTTGAGGCTTTCCCCAGCTTGTTTCTTGTCTAAATCTAGCCGTTGAGGGGTCTACCTCCATGGGTTGAACTTTATCCTGGTCTAGTGGCTCAGTATCCCTGTGCTTTGGCCAGGGATTGTTCTCATGAGATTTATTTTGGTTTTGTTTAGGGACAAAGTGCGGATTCTTATCCTCGCCTCTCCATTGCTTTCCCTGACTCTTACTATTGCGCCTGTTGCCCTCATTGCAATGGGACTTGTCTTCTATAGCTTTCGCGTAGGATGCCGCGAACGCACTTCTCTCAATGCTGTTCTCGGCCTCTCGCGCTAACGCTAGTGCAGACGGAAGGTCTTTGGGTTGTGCTGGCAGCACGAGTGACTTGAGTGGTCTTTTAAGCCCTGCAATGAATGCATGAAGGGCATCATCCCTAACCTCCTTATTTAGGATAGTTGCTGTGTCCGAGTTATGTGACATGACTATTTTGTTAGTGACAAGCGTGAGTTTCCTCTCGACCTCGTCATAGTATGCCATAAGATCGGAGTCTCCTTGCCGAACCATTTCTAAATTTTGCCGCAGCACTCTCAAGGACGTTTTGTCCGCATATGTGCAATCTAGTCTGGCTATAATTGCATCCCACTGTATTGTGGGACGTGAGTAGTGACCGAGCGGGTCCGCAAATTTTGTTTTTAATTATGACCACGGCCTCGTAGTGTGCCTCGCTGCCGTCGTATTTCTTAAATACCTCATAGGCATCTGATGCAGCTTGCCTCCACGAAACATACTCATCGTGTTTTCCACTGAACGTTGGCAGAGACTTTACTATGTCCAACTTGACATCGCATCTTACTGCAGGGTTTGGTACTACTCTTTTGTAGACCTCCACCTGCGGCGCTTGGACTGACAGCGCGCTAACCTGTGTTCTAACCGCATCTAATTCTGTGGCGAAATCGATTCTTAACCGCTCCTCTTGTTCGCTAAGAGCGGCGCTGACCGCATTTGCGACAATCGCTTGGACCATTTCTGCGTTCATTTCTGGTTGATCTGTGTCCCTAACTTCGGGGCGAAATCCTACTTCTTCGCTACTTTCGCTATCGTCGCTATCAATTTCCTGTTTTACTTCTCTATACTCCCAACTCATTGGCAGTTAAAGGGCGCGAGGTAGATACGAGGATTTGACGATTGGGCTCAAGACAAAAGGTTTCAACGGGCCACTTTGGTGATGTAAAGTCGAAAAATGTAGCGAAAAATAATAGATCGTCACCTAAAACACAAAGATGTTGGATTAATTTGTCCCAAGAATAAAATTAAAATACAGAACGGTGACAACAAGTATAGGTTAATTCGACTGGGTATATTATTAGCACAGACACACTGGATAACTTTGGTACGAAACTCAATATAAGCACAGTAGGTAAATTTGTAACAAACACAAGGAGAAAAACGACTGGGCCCTCTGAATGCGTATAGAAACCAACCTTAACAAAGAAATACAATATTCCTTTGCATAATTAAATCGTATAAATGTCGATCGCCTTGGCACCAGTGTGCGTTATTTGAGACGTATGATTTCTTTTATTATAATGCACTTAAAAAAATCCAGATCGAACAAAATTAAATCAACACGCAGAACATGGAAGTGTATTGTAATTTAATATTTTAATAATTTATTCACATAAAAATTGCCAGTACGAGTGTACGTAACTTGAGTTATATGTATATTTTTTATTTGCCACGCCCTCATAAAAATCTGAATTAGAAATCGAAAATCGAGTCACTTTTTATACGTAAAAAATTCCTATTGCTGGGCGTAGGAAATTGTATGGCATATGTGTGTTGTGTATGTGTAGACCTTGGCTATTGTCGGCGCTCAGCTACTTACATAATTTACAACTTCAGGGGTGGGATTCGAATATTAGTAATAATATTAATCCGTTGGGCGCCAATCATTTAAATGTCCGTGCCGGCTGGCGGATCCTCCGCGGCAGGGGTAGAGCCGGTAGGTGATAAATCCGTAGGGGGGTGGCAGTAGAATACTGCCCGCTGATTGATTGTTGGCGGCCACCAAGATTGGCAGCCACAGCGGAGTCGGGTGGTAGCTTCGACTCCTTTGCTTCTTCCGAAGTATACGGTGGGAGATACTTATCTCCGATGTCACGGCCCTTAAGGCACGATAACCAAATTCAATAATCAAAATAATGTAACGGCTAAGGCCGGAGTTTTATGAACGAGCTGGAGCTCTTTATTTCAAATCCAAATTAAAAACTGAACTTAAGATTGAACAAAAGCTCATGCATAGCCGGATGCCCGTGGCAGACCGCTGACCTTGCACATTTTGCAGAAGTCATACGATCGTTTTCAGCCAATGAAAAGGAGCCACGGCTCGGAATGGTACAATGTGCTGGCTCAGCTCTAGGGCCAATAAGTCGGACCCGATTTAGGGTGGACCATGCATGAGGGAGAAATGTAATAATAATATTGATAATAATAAAAAGTGATTAATACTAGGGAATGACAAACATGATAAATGATTAATATTAATAAGGTAAGTAAGAACTGTCCTGCTCAGCCTAAGCTGGGGGTCGGTTGTTAACTTACACACACGTGCTCACATGCGCATTCTATTTTTAGATTTTTACGCTCTCAACATTGTGCGAGCGCGCTGAGAGCGAGAGAGGATAGAAGAGGAGAGAGAGATCGTTCGTCAGCGGTGGAAGATGGACAGGGGACACCGCTTTTTCGTGACAGTCATAAAATGGTTTTACTCCGTCCATACTCAGATCGTCGAATACTGTCCGCCAGTAATGAGAGAGAGCGAGAGGTAAACAGCTGGCGTTCACTTTTCGTCAAGGGTTTTTTTCACCTCGGTCCTCAAATCGACGAAAAATACCAGAAAATTGCATAGCATTGCCAGTCTGCGGAAATAAACTTTGGGTGAACCCTAGCGAAAAGAATAAAAAATTTAATCTTTTGGCGTGCGTTTCTCACTGAACATTTTAAAAAATTAAGGGAAAAATTAAAAAAGCACGCAAAAGTCGATTGGAGGAGTTTACATGTGAGGACAAAATAACATTAATACCATCTGGGGTGCCTCTTGTCAGGGCAAAATATTTCTTGGGTCAAAAATAAACGAAAAAAATCATAAAAGTGCAGCTATGAACTTTAAATTAGCAAATAATTATCAGTATATTAAAAAAAAACAACTGTTAAATTTAAATTGTATTGTTTTTTAATGTATTTGTACAGCGGCAGTTTTATCTTGCCAAAGTGAGTTGAGAATATCTTTTTAAGGCTCTTTCCCCAAAAAAGATATTTGAATTTTAACTGCTTTTCAACAAACTCAGCTGACTGATAGTACGACCGTATCACGCTTAATTCTGATGAACTCTCGAACTTTTGCTCACACTGGAAAGATTAAAGTTTTTACGCTAGCTTACTCGTTTGTCGATCTGAGTACTAAGCTAAAACGCGCCTGAAAAAGTTTCACTTTAAAAAATATAATCTATTGAAGTGTCTGTTGACAGAAATTAGTGCTTCCTAGATCCAAAATTAACGAAAAACCAAAAAAAACGAGGACGGAAGCTAACTTCGGCAAGCCGAAGTTTTAATACCCTTGCAGACTTTGCCAAAATTGCTAATCGACGTTATTCTTTTCGCTAGGGTTCACCCAAAGTTCATTTCCGCAGACTGGCAACGCTATGCAATTTTCTGGTATTTTTTTTGTCGATCTGAGTACCGACGTGAAAAAAAGGCCGACGTGAAATAAAGGCCAAGGAAAAAGGCCAATTTAAATTTAACAGTTGTTTTTTTTTAATTTACTGATAATTATTTGCTAATTTAAAGTTCATAGCTGCACTTTTATTGTGTTTTTTTCGTACATTCTGGACCTAAAAAACATTTTGCTCTGACAAGAGGCACCCCAGATAGTATTAATGTTATTTTGTCCTCACATGTAAACACCTGCAATCGACTTTTGTGAGTTTTTTGAGTTTTTCCCTCCATTTCTTATAATGTTCAGTGAGAAGCGCACGCCAAAAGATTAAATTTTTTAATATTTTCGCTAGGGTTCACCCAAAGTTCATTTCCGCAGACTGGCAACGCTATGGAATTTTCTGGTATTTTTTTCGTCGATCAGGGGACCGACGTGAAAAAAAGGCCCGACGAAAAGTGAACGCCAGCTGTTTGCCTCTCGCTCTCTCTCATGAGTGGCGTACGGTTTTCATCGATCTGGATACTAGGCTTACAGCGGCAGACTAATATAAAAACATTCCGTGCCTTTACTCCTGTTCCTTTTTCGACACCAATCGACTGTCGCTATTTTGACGGTCAACTGTATATAATGCCGGATAATATTTTGTATCGTTATCGGTTCCGTCACACTTGTATACAAGCTGTTTTATGTCTCTGGAGGATTTATTTTCTAAATTGATATAAATGGATCTGTATGACGATATAGACACCAAGCCCCGAGCTAGCCAAATTGATGGCTGGTCCTCTGGCATTAAAATGTTGCAGACCCAGCTGGCAGTAAAGAAAGCCGTCAAAAAACCCGTAAGTAGCGCCAGCAATTCGCGTCGATCCTATCTTTTCAATTTATTCACAACAGTTAATGACGCCGGTGGTCAATTTAAGAGCCAAACGCCTTGCCGAGCCAGAAGCCAGATATTTTGATTCAGTGGCGGTCGTGCTTGCCAAGCCCATAATCACTGGCAAAGCCCTACTTCCCGTGCTGGAATGTGCCAGCAAGGACGACTGGGACTTCTCGGACGAGTACGATCCGCAGTGGCCAAATGAATACGAAAAATTAAAGGAGAGCACTAAACCCAGCGAGAAGTCCCGAGCTAGCTCCAGCGGAGGGGGGACCAATAGGGAAGAACGTGATAAGGACAGGGATCGGGAGCGGAAACGCGGTCGGATCGGACGTCGAGAAGGTCACAAAGACGATGTCTCACCGCCAAATATAAATTTTAGCGGGTTTGGCCAGCTACAAAGCGCTGATGACTTGTACAGTCCGCCCGCTGCGGGCTCTGTAGCTAAGCTGGGAGGGGGTGCCGCCATTGCTCCTCCTCCTTCACTTCAAGAGATATCAATAGAGAGTGGAGATGGATTCTCTAACGTTACCATACCGTATTCGGCAAGCTCAGTAGCGGCCAAAATAATGGCTAAATACGGCTTCAAGGATGGCCAAGGCCTCGGAAAGTCTGAGCAGGGTATGTCAATAGCCCTGCAAGTGGAAAAGACTTCCAAACGGGGTGGTCGCATCATTCACGAGAAAGACGTATTTCTGCCTCCCCTGTCCCTGTCCCCACCTGCGATTGGCTCCCCAACTGGATTAAGTCCCGGTCATCACGGGATGCCACCTCCTTACATACCAGGCCCAGCGGCTACCAGCGGTGATACCGAGCCCAGCATCACAGAAATCATGAAATCCCCAAGCAAGGTTGTTCTTCTTCGCAACATGGTCGGGCCCGGAGACGTTGATGAAGACTTGGAGCCGGAGGTGAAGGACGAGTGCAACACTAAATACGGGGAAGTTAACAGCGTCATTATTCACGAAGCGTTCGGAACAGTGCCAGAAGATGCCGTTAAGATATTTGTGGAGTTTAAACGCATTGAAAGCGCTATAAAAGGTTGCTATATTTTCATTCGATTGGTATAAATTAGCTAATTCTTTGATTCACAGCTGTGGTGGACCTAAATGGGCGCTTTTTTGGAGGCCGTCAAGTACGAGCGGTTTTTTATAACTATGATAAGTTCAAATGTTATCAATTAAATTAGCATAAGCATAACGAATAAGGAGTGTTATCTCAGTATAGAAAAGGTCTCAAAACTTCGATTTATTTAATTTAAATCGTTTTTAGTAATTGTTAAATTTAAAAATTTGAAAATGTGTATGTGGTTTCCATTTGCCATTGCAGTAAAATAAATTTGGTTACTGCACTTAAAATTATTCAAAATAAGAAACGATCGATTTGTATTCGGTTTTGATTGACTGTTTTAATAATCATTCAATTATTGATAAAAAAGTATAAGCAAAAAAAAAAGAAACAACAAAGCGGAATGGTGCACTGTAAAAGCCAATTGATTTTGTCATATTAAATTTGTTTTTAAATTTAAATCATAACAGCTTAATACCGTCTTCCAACAGAGATCCATCCACCATCTGTTGAACGGATGGTCTATAAGGTTTTGCCGTTCCGAAAATTCCCAGTTTGTTTCCCATTCAAATTTGACGGACTCATTTATGCGATAGTAGTCTTTTGGAGCAACTCTGAGTTCTTCTTCTTGACAGTGAAAACTGAAACATTCACTACAAAAACGTAAAGCCTAGTATCCAGATCGATGAAAACCGTACGCCACTCATGAGAGAGAGCAAGAGGCAAACAGCTGGCGTTCACTTTTCGTCAGGCTTTTTTTCACGTCGGTACTCAGATCAACTAAAAAAATACCAGAAAATTTCATAGCGTTGCCAGTCTGCTGAAATTAACTTTGGGTGAACCCTAGCGAAAAGAATAAAATATGTAATCTTTTGGCGTGCGCTTCTCACTGAACATTTTAATATATGGAAGGAAAAACTCAAAAAACTAGCAAAAGTCGATGGCAGGAGTTTACATGTGAAGACAAAATAACATTAATACTATCTGGGGTGCCTCTTGTCAGAGCAAAATGTTTTTTAGGTCCAGAATGCACGAAAAAACACAATAAAAGTGCAGCTATGAACATTAAATTAGCAAATAATTATCAGTAAATTAAAAAAACAACTGTTAAATTTAAACTGTATTGTTTTTTAATTTCTTTGTACAGCGGCAGACTTGTCTTGCCAAGTTATTTGATTATATCTTTTAAAGGCTCTTTCCCGCAAATACGATATTTGAATTTCAACTGCTTGTCAACAAACCCAGCTGATTGACATTACGACCGTAGCACGCTTAAATCTGATGAACTATCAAACTTTTGGTCACACTGGAAAGATTAAAGTTTGGATACTAGGCTTTATCCAGATCGACAAACGATTACGCTAGCGTAAAACTTTAATCTTTCCAGTGTGACCAAAAGTTTGATAGTTCATCAGATTTAAGCGTGCTACGGTCGTACTGTCAATCAACTGGGTTTGTTGACAAGCAGTTAAAATTTAAATATCGTATTTGCGGCAAAGAGCCTTTAAAAACTATTATCAAATACCTTGGCAAGACAAGTCTGCCGCTGTACAAAGAAATTAAAAAACAATTAAAATACTATTTAAATTTAACAGTTGTTTTTTTTTAATTTACTGATAATTATTTGCTAATTTAAAGTACATAGCTGCACTTTTATTGTGTTTTTTCGTACATTCTGGACCTAAAAACATTTTGCTCGGACAAGAGGCACCCCAGATAGTATTAATGTTATTTTGTCTTCACATGAAAACACCTGCAATAGACTTTTGCGAGTTTTTTGAGTTTTTCCCTCCATTTCTTATAATGTTCAGTGAGAAGCGCACGCCAAAAGATTAAATTTTTTAATCTTTTCCGCTAGGGTTCACCCAAAGTTAATTTCCGCAGACTGGCAACGCTATGGAATTTTCTGGTATTTTTTTCGTCGATCAGGAGACCGACGTGAAAAAAAGGCCTGACGAAAAGTGAACGCCAGCTGTTTGCTTCTCGCTCTCTCTCATGACTGGCGTACGGTTTTCGTCCATCTGGATACTAGGCTTAATAGGCTTAAACAATAATGACGGGAAACTTTTCAAAAAGGATGGCCCCAAATCAAAAAATGATGTTTATACTTGTAATAATTAATTATCCATCCGTGTGGCAGCATTAAAGCCTAGTATCCAGATCGACAAACGATTACGCTAGCGTAAAAACTTTAATCTTTCCAGTGTGACCAAAGTTTCGAGAGTTCATCAGATTTAAGCGTGCTACGGTCGTACTGTCAATCAGCTGGGTTTGTTGACAAACAGTTAAAATTCAAATATCGTATATGCGGGAAAGAGCCTTTAAAAGATATTATCAAATACCTTGGCAAGACAAGTGTCCCGCTGTACAAAGAAATTAAAAAACAATACAATTTAAATTTAACAGTTGTTTTTTTTAATTTACTGATAATTATTTGCTAATTTAAAGTTCATAGCTGCACTTTTATTGAGTTTTTTCGTACATTCTGGACCTAAAAAACATTTTGCTCGGACAAGAGGCACCCCAAATAGTATTAATGTTATTTTGTCCTCACATGTAAACACCTGCAATCGACTTTTGTGAGTTTTTTGAGTTTTTCCCTCCATTTCTTATAATGTTCAGTGAGAAGCGCACGCCAAAAGATTAAATTTTTTAATCTTTTCGCTAGGGTTCACCCAAAGTTCATTTCCGCAGACTGGCAACGCTATGGAATTTTCTGGTATTTTTTTCGTCGATCGGGGGACCGACGTGAAAAAAAGGCCCGACGAAAAGTGAACGCCAGCTGTTTGCCTCTCGCTCTCTCTCATGACTGGAGTACGGTTTTCGTCGATCTGGATACTAGGCTTAAGAATTGCTGCACTTTTTCCTAGGCGCATACCGTAATCACAACATGGAGCAGGACACCTTGGTGAACGAGAGTAGGTCCCGAGACTAGGGATGTCAAAAATATATCGATATTTCTTGCAAAGAAATATATTTATATCGTGATATTTTATTTGCCAAAAATCAAAATACCGATACTAGAATTCGATATTTTTTGATAATTGCATATCTTTCTCTCATGTCCCAGTCGGTGTGAGGCATGCTAATGTATGCCTCCGGTGGAATTTTGGTACTCCCAGAAAGACAATTTACCAAATCTTTCGAGTGTTGCACTAAGCTACCTAATGACCCCGGGTAGCTCAGTGTCGTTAGAGCGGTTAGCGTCGGCTATTAAGTGCGCTGTCTGCGACACACCCAGCCGCATGACCGACCGTCACATAACGGAAAGAGTATTTTTAAAATCCATATGCAAAGACTTATGAAACTAATAAAATAACAAATGTATCAAAGCGTTTATTATTTTTTATATTTTTCTAGTGCTTTTACTTTAGGCCAAAAGTCTTGTTTCCTTGTTGTTAGCTTATTTACGCGTCTAAAGTTTTGAAATATCAAAAATATCTGATATATCGATATTTTTTGGCGAAATATTAAATATCATATCAATATTTTTCTAAAGGAAAATATATCAGAGATACTTTTTGAAGGTATGACCAGGAAGCCTCTGCAGCGGAAGTCAACGCCCAGGCAGGAAGCAAAGGTGGACAACAAGGCCGAGCTTGTGGAAATAGCGCTCGAGAATGGCTGGAGGAGCAGCTGGCGCAGACCACCGAGATCATGTCATTGAATTGCGCTTGGCTGTCTGCCATATGAAATTATAATAAAACAAAATATAAACATATATGTATATATTTAATGAACTTGATTTGGTACCATTTAGACAATATTGGGCAATAGCTGTTCATATTTTTTTTGCAGGCTGGCAGACATATTAATCCGATTTGGTTATTCGCGTAGATCACTTGCAGTCTGTTACCAAGTATCATTTATAGCGCTGTTGTGCTCATTTTAAATGTTCTGCAAAATGCAACAGGCTAGAATGATTAGCCACAGCTGTTATCGGATAGTTGTTGGAGGATGTAGTCTGTGGGAATAGGAGTTTTACATACATATGTCAAAAATTCCAACTTTTTCTAAAATAATTATTTGCTAATTTAAAGATCATAGCTGCACTTTTATTGTGTTTTTCGTACATTCTTGACCTAAAAAACATTTTGCTCTGACAAGAGGCACCCCATATAGTATTAATGTTATTTTGAAAGAGGCAAACAGCTGGCTTTCACTTTTCGTCAACGTTTTTTTTCACCTCGGTCCTCAGATCGACGAAAAAAAAAACCAGAAAATTGCATAGCGTTGCCAGACTGCGGAAACGAACTTTGGGTGAACCCTAGTGAAAAAATAAAAAAATTTAAGCCTAGTACTCATATCGACAAACGAGTATGCTAGCGTAAAACTTTAATCTTTCCAGTGTGACCAAAAGTTTGATAGTTCATCAGATTTAAGCGTGCTACGGTCGTACTGTCAATCAGCTGGGCTTGTTGACAAGCAGTTAAAATTCAAATATCGTATTTGCGGGAAAGAGCCTTTAAAAGATATAATCAAATACCTTGGCAAGACAAGTCTGCCGCTGTACAAAGAAATTAAAAAACAATACAATTTAAATTTAACAGTTGTTTTTTTAATTTACTGATAATTATTTGCCAATTTTAAGTTCATAGCTGCACTTTTATTGTGTTTTTCATACATTCTTGATCTAAAAAACATTTTGCTCTGACAAGAGGCACCCCAGATAGTATTAAAGATATTTTGTCCTCACATGTAAACTCCTGCAATCGACTTTTGCGAGTTTTTTGAGTTTTTCCCTCCATTTCTTATAATGTTCAGTGAGAAGCGCACTCCAAAAGCTTAGTATCCAGATCGACAAACGTTTACGCTAGCGTAAAACTTTAATCTTTCCAGTGTGACCAAAATTTTGAGAGTTCATCAGAAGAAATTAAAAAACAATACAATATAAATTTAACAGTTGTTTTTTTTTAATTTAATGATAATTGTTTGCTAATTTAAAGTTCATAGCTGCACTTTTATTGTGTTTTTCGTACATTCTGGACCTAAAAAACAATTTGCTCTGACAAGAGGCACCCCAGATAGTATTAATGTTATTTTGTCCTCACATGTTAATTTTTTAATCTTTTCGCTAGGGTTCAGCCTAGTATCCACTTCGACGTAAACCGTACGCCAGTCATGAGAGAGAGCGAGAGGCAAACAGCTGGCGTTCACTTTTCGTCGGGCCTTTTTTTCACTTCGGTCTCCTGATCGACGAAAAAAATACCAGAAAATTGCATAGCGTTGCCAGTCTGCGGAAATGAACTTTGGGTGAACCCTAGCGGAAAGATTAAAAAATTTAATCTTTTGGCGTGCGCTTCTCACTGAACATTATAAGAAGTGGAGGGAAAAACTCAAAAAACTCACAAAAGTCGATTGCAGGTGTTTACATGTGAGGACAAAATAACATGAATACTATCTGGGGTGCCTCTTGTCAGAACAAAATGTTTTTTAGGTCCAGAATGTACGAAAAAACACAATAAAAGTGCAGCTATGAACTTTAAATAAGCAAATAATTATCATAAAATTAAAAAAACAACTGTTAAATTTAAATTGTGTTGTTTTTTAACTTCTTTGTACAGCGGCAGACTTGTCTTGCCAAGGTATTTGATAATATCTTTTAAAGGCTCTTTCCCGCAAATATGATATTTGAATTTTAACTGCTTGTCAACAAACCCAGCTGATTGTCAGTACGACCGTAGCACGCTTAAATCCGATGAACTCTCGAAATTTTGGTCACACTGGAAAGATTAAAGTTTTTACGCTAGCATACTCGTTTGTCGATCTGGATACTAGGCTTTCACCCAAAGTTAATTTCCGCAGACTGGCAACGCTATGGAGTTTTCGGGTATTTTTTCGTCGATCAGGGGACCGACGTGAAAAAAAAGGCCCGACAAAAAGTGAACGCCAGCTGTTTACCTCACGCTCTCTCTCATGACTGGCGAACAGTTTATGTCGATGTGAGAACTAGGCTTTAATCTTTTGGCGTGCACTTCTCACTAAACAAATTTAAAAAAAACAACTGTTAAATTTAAATGGTATTGTTATTTTAATTTCTTTGTACATCGGCAGACTTATCTTGATAATATATTTGAAAGTCTCTTTCCCGCTAATACGATATTTGAATTTTAACTGCTTGTCAACAAACCCAGCTGACTTCAATCTATTCAGTGTGACCAAAATTTCAAGAGTTCATCAGAATTAAGCGTGCTACGGTCGTACTGTCAATCAGCTGGGTTTATTGACAAGCAGTTTAAATTAAAATATCGTATTTGCGGGAAAGAGCCTTTAAAAAATATTATCAAATACCTTGGCAAGACAAGTCTGCCGCTGTACAAAGAAATTAAAAAACAATACAATTTAAATTTAACAGTTTTTTTTTTTCATAGCTGCACTTTTATTGTGGTTTTTCGTACATTCTTGACATTTTGCTGTGACAAGAGGCACCCCAGATAGTATTAATGTTATTTTGTCTTAACATGTAAACTCCTGCCATCGACTTTTGCTAGTTTTTTGAGTTTTTCCTTCCATATATTAAAATGTTCAGTGAGAAGGGCACGCCAAAAGATTACATTTTTTATTCTTTTCGCTAGGGTTCACCCAAAGTTAATTTCAGCAGACTGGCAACGCTATGAAATTTTCTGGTATTTTTTTAGTTGATCTGAGTACCGACGTGAAAAAAGGACCGACAAAACGTGAACGCCAGCTGTTTGCCTCTCGCTCTCTCTCATGACAGGCGTAAGGTTTTCGTCGATCTGAGTACTAGGCTTTAATTGCGATGAACTCTCACACTGGAAAGATTAAAGTTTTTACGCTAACGTACTCGTTTGTCGACCTGAGTACTAGGCTTTAATCTTTTCGCTAGGGTTCACCCAAAGTTCATCTCCTCAGACTGGCAACGCTATGCAATTTTCTGGTATTTTTTCGTCGATCTGAGGACCGAGATGAAAAAAAACGTTGACGAAAAGTGAACGCCAGCTGTTTGCCTCTCGCTCTCTCTCATGACTGGCGGACAGTTTTTGTCGATCTGAGTACTAGGCTTAAGTCTAGTATCCAAATTGACAAACGATTACGCTAGCGTAAAAACTTTAATCTTTCCAGTGTGACCAAAGTTTCGAGGGTTCATCGGATTTAAGCGTGCTACGGTCGTACTGTCAATCAGCTGGGTTTGTTGACAAGCAGTTAAAATTCAAATATCGTATTTGCGGCAAAGAGCCTTTAAAAGATATTATCAAATACATTGGCAAGACAAGTCTGCCGCTGTACAAAGAAATTAAAAAACAATACAATTTAAATTTAACAGTTGTTTTTTTTTTAATTTACTGATAATTATTTGTGTTTTTTCGTACATTCTGAACCTAAAAAACATTTTGCTCTGACAAGAGGCACCCCAGATAGTATTAATGTTATATTGTCCTCACATGTAAACACCTGCAATTGACTTTTGTGAGTTTTTCCCTCCATTTCTTATAATGTTCAGTGAGAAGCGCACGCCAATAGATTAAATTTTTTAATCTTTTCGCTAGGGTTCACCCAAAGTTCATTTCCCCAGACTGGCAACGCTATGGAATTTTCTGGTATTTTTTTCGTCGATCTGGGGACCGACGTGAAAAAAAGGCCCGACGAAAAGTGAACGCCAGCTGTTTGCCTCTCGCTCTCTCGCATGACTGGCGTACTGTTTTCGTCGATCTGGATACTAGGCTTTAAAAATAAATGTGAAACATGCACATCCGCGTGGCGGCACTCCCAGGCCAAGTGGCGACATTCGTATCTTATCCGGGGCGGAAGCAATCTACTAAAAGTTGACCATGAAGTACGGATAAGCCGGTTAATTATCGCTGGCAATTGGACATTGGCTAGTTACACAATAATAGTTAGAAGTGGCTGGACTTTTGAGCAGTTCGCGCCTGGCGTCCAAAACAACCACAACAGTCAGTAGAATCGTATTGAAACATGGTTGCATTGAGCACAAAGTAAGTACTTCTGATCCCTGTTTTGACCTTTGACCTATCAATAGCTAATGCGATGGCAAGTGAAAGCAATCTAAACCAATTATTTACCGCACTGGGCGTATATTACAGCAGGCGCCGGGAGGAGCAGCCCGTCACAAACATCCTCGAGGATAAGCGGATCTTTCCCGAATTCCGCGGCGGACCTTTGGACGAATACCGGCAACGAGCGAGCTTCTGCTACAAGCGCATGAACATGGTGCTTGAGGGCGAGGAGCACATCCGTCTGAAGGTAATTGCTCATTCCAGTATGTAATGCGGGCGGTGGCGTTGAAGAGTAGACATTTTTGTTGGCGCTTATTTGCGCCTTGTGTAATTTGTTTACATTGCGCTTCGTCCTTAGCATAAGGTTTGGCAGTGGATGGAGCAACACCCTGATTACCAGCGGGAACCAGAGGGGTCAAGCCTGGAACGCGTCCGCGAGATGGCCAACAAGCGGCAGCACCTCCTCTGGGAGCAACAGTTCTACGGTGTTAACGAGGTGGGATGCGTCAGGTACAGCTAAGAGACGAATCTGTTTAATTATCTTTTATTGTTTTAGTACTTGGAATCCCCGCACCTACTTCTGGCTTTCGGGCAGGCAATCTTTAGCTACGATTTTAGCACCTCGGTTAAGTTCGGCCTGTCAACGGGTATGTTCCCCAGCACCCTGGTCTCCAACGGATCTGGTCGCCTGGGCAAGTATGTGGCCAAGATCGCCGATAACCGCATTTTAGGGGCCTATGCCCTCACTGAGATCTCTCACGGCACCAATGCACTTGGCATGCGCACCCGGGCGACTTACGACATAAAAAGGCAGGAGTTTATTATCCATACGCCGGACTTTGAAGCGGCCAAGTGTTGGGTCGGCAACCTAGGCAAGACCTGCACCCACGCTATCGTTTACGCGCAATTGTTCGTTCCTGATGACAAGCACCAGGGCCTGCAGGCTTTTCTTATTCCCATTAGGGACGAGCGTACTCTGCTGCCCTTCCCTGGTGTTACAGTCGGTGACATGGGCGAGAAGATCGGTCTAAACGGCATCGACAATGGGCAAGTACACCCTCTATATGGGTCAAGCAGCAGCAATAAGTTCGGTTTTTGACATTGCAGCTTTGTTATGTTTAACCAGTATCGCATACCGAAGGCTAACCTTCTGTCTAAAACCGGCGACATCGATGCGCAGGGCAACTACACCAGCCAAATTAAGGACGAGCGTAAGCGACTTGGCGCCTCTTTAGGCGCCCTCTCTGTGGGCCGCGTCAACATTACTGCTATTACGTACGTTGCATTAAGCAAGGCAGTGTCGATCGCTACCCGATACGGGGCCAGCAGGCGGCAGTTCGGTCCTACGAATAGCCCAGCGGAGTGGCCCGTGATCGAATACCAATCACAGCAATATCGGCTTATCCCCCACTTGGCCACAGCAATCGCATTGCGTGTTGTTACGCTCTGGATAGGAAAGGAAAACGTGGATTTGACCATGAAGGGCTTCACTGGTGAGGATACGTCGCAGACGGGCATGGAGATTCACGCCATTTCTTCGGCATTAAAGCCGGTGGCCACATGGGCGGCGAGGGATGGCATCCAGGTAAGGTTGTCAAATGTTTTCAAGCTATAAGTCCACGTTTTGTTGATGTCTAATTAAAATTTTACGGACCACTCGTATATTTTTTATCACGTCTGGTGGCACCCATAGTTAGATTTTTTTGCGAGAAAATATAATACTTCCGTACGCTACGAGATCCATCTAGGCAAGATACAAATTCTAGTATAGTTATACCTGTTACTCGTAGAGTAAAAGGGTATATTGTATTCGTGCAAAAGTATGTAACAGCTAGAAGGAAGCGTTTCCGACCCTATAAAGTATATATATTCTTGATCAGGGTCACTAGCCGAGTCGATATAGCCATGTCCGTCTGTCTGTCTGTCCGTATGAACGCTGAGATCTCGGAAACTATAAAAGCTAGAAGATTGGCATTTTGCATGCAGATTCTAGGAGTTCCTACGCAGCGCAAGTTTGTTTCAAAAATGTGCCACGCCCCCTTTAACGCCCACAATCGCTTATATACGATTTAAAAAATTTAAATATTTCGGAAAAGTAAAAATGCAGTTTTATTGTGTTTATCAATACCTATCGAAATGTAGAAGAACATTTTTAAATCGGACCATTCGTTAAAAAGTTATGCGTGATCAAAGTTTCTATCTCCATCTCCCTCGCACTCCCTTTACCTGAGTAACGGGTATCTGATAGTCGGGGCACCCGACTATAGCGTTCTCTCTTGTTTTTAATTAGAAATGTCTATAAAGGGGACATATTTTTTAAATTTTAAAGTTATATTGGTAATCAGTTTTTCAGAATGACTGTTTTCTGGTGTTTTTGACAATATCTCGGCACTTAACCAACCATGTTGGCCTGCATTTGTGTGATTGATTTCTAAACCAAAGTTCAAGTTAAAGCAATTCAGTATTCTATAAAACTACTTTGTATTGATTATTATGTGTATTTTGATGAAGCTATAAAAAAATTATATGGTGAAATTAGGATGTTTTAGGAGTAACAAAACGCCGAAAGAAGTTTTAAAAAAGATAAAAAACAGAATTCGGCAAGCCGAAGTTAATACAGCTGTTATAAAAATCAAATAGTCTATATTCGAAAAAAAACTATATTTTTGAGAAAAACAATGAAGTCTCATTTTCCGGTTTTTTTTATCGTTCCTATGGCAGCAATATGACATAGTCAACCGTTTTTAATAAAAATAAAAAACTAATTCTGAAATTGTTAAAAGATTACTAAACGAAGTTATTATTTTATTTCCCTTTTTCCCGACTATTCCTTTGACAGAAGACAGGTGACAAAAACGTATTTCTGAAATTTATTAAATATACTCTGTGTCTGAGTAAATGGATATATGTTAGGAAACAATTAAGTTAAAATTGTGTTTCCCCTTTTTTCCGACTTGTATAAACGGAAATGTGTTTTTCTGTGCGTTGGAAACTTTTGACTGAAATTACTCTTATAATACCCTCTGATAGGGTATACAAAAAAAATATTTTTATTTTAGCAAATGTTTAGGAATTATGGAATTATTAAAATTTTTTAAAACGATTTAGTGAGCATTTTTCTTCCTTTTACTTACAAATTTTATTATACTTTTGCATATTTTTTATACCCGTTACTCGTAGAGTAAAAGGGTATATTGTATTCGTGCAAAAGTATGTAACAGCTAGAAGGAAGCGTTTCCGACCCTATAAAGTATATATATTCTTGATCAGGGTCACTAGCCGAGTCGATATAGCCATGTCCGTCTGTCCGTCTGTCCGTCTGTCCGTCTGTCTGTCCGTCTGTCCGTCTGTCCGTCTGTCTGTCCGTCTGTCTGTCCGTCTGTCTGTCCGTATGAACGCTGAGATCTCGGAAACTATAAAAGCTAGAAGATTGGCATTATGCATGCAGATTTTAGGAGTTCCAACGCAGCGCAAGTTTGTTTCAAAAAGGTGCCACGCCATCTTTAACGCCCACAATCGCTTATATACGATTTTAAAAATTTAAATATTTCGGAAAAGTAAAAATGCAGTTTTATTGTGTTTATCAATACCTATCGAAATATAGAAGAAATTTTTCAAATCGGACCATTCGTTAAAAAGTTATGCGTGATCAAAGTTTCTATCTCCATCTCCCTCGCACTCCCTTTACCTGAGTAACGGGTATCTGATAGTCGGGGCACCCGACTATAGCGTTCTCTCTTGTTTTGTTCTAAACTGTTAAAAGTTGGAGTTTCTGTTGCTTAATAACATTCGAAAGCAAGTTCCGAGAAACATTTTTAAATTCCAAAGTTAATGAATCTCAAGGACCATATTCTTAAAAATTAAAAAAAAACGTTAGGGACGTTTAAGGAGACCCCCCCCCCCATCCCATTCTCGATTTCAAATTTCGTACATATATTATTTTTTAGGCTTGTAACTTTGCATCCATTTATTTGAAGTCTTAAAAAATAAGAAAAAAATGTAACATAATTTTTTTTTGTTTTGTTGTTGTTTTTTTGTCATTGAACAAGAGCCCTTCTTTTCGGGACTTCCGCTCACTGGAATTTCAACGGGATGAATGGCTACAGCATGAACTAAGATTATTAAATTCGCACAAAAATGAAAAAAATGGCGGACCTTTGAACATTTTTGTTTGAAAATCGCTTCTTTTCAGCCACAAATCAAGTTGAAAAGTTAAGAAGATCATGCTATAGCTATATATGTATAGAATACGGTATTAACATTTGGAACCTATTGGATTAATAGTTTTTAAGTAACCTCATGCGCCAGTCGTAAAAATACTGTTTCGAGAAAAACGCGCTTAAAGTTTTGAGAAGATCTCGACGTCGCTTGACGCTTCCACCATAAATCGGCTATATCTTCAAAAGTTTTTGAAATATTCACTTGAAATTTTAAAGGAATGTTCTTGAATAGTTATAGGTTTCAATTAAATAAAAAAATCGATTTTTTGAAACCGAGATTGGGGGGGTCCCCTTAAAGAGTTAACCAAGCAGAGTCACAAAAAAATTGAAAACACTATTTAAGCCATTATTTTCAAACTTAAAAATTAAATTAGGAAAAATTATAATATTGAAAAGGGTTTTTATTTGGCTTTAACTTCTTGATATCCTATTTACTTTCAAATTGGAGGGTTTTCCAAAATAATAGTATTAAGTGAAATTCTATTTTTATGACGTTTTTATTTTTGGCAACCTTACGTCTAGGAGTGTCGTGAGGCCTGTGGGGGACATGGCTACCTAAAGTCATCTGGATTAGGAGACCTCCGAAACGACAACGATGCAAACTGCACATATGAGGGCGAAAACAACACGCTCATTCAGCAAGCATCAAATTGGTTAATCAGTCTTCGACGCAACAACGCTGACTTCGTGGCCGTGTCTCCGTTGGAGACAGTGTCCTTTCTTAAGGATATGGAAGATCTTCTACAAAGCAAGTGCCAGGAGCGTACACCTGCCGAATCCATGGATGCGCTTAGTAAGTATTGGTTATGTTATTAAACATAATAAGAACAACGATACAGTTGAGTACAACGACTATAATATCACCGATTTCACTATCCAAACGTCAGTAATTAGGTACCATACAAATTTAAAGATTTTTCGATTTGGTTTCTTCCAAAACCCACCAAGCTTGTTATAAGCAAGGGCGTTGTTCAATCAATATTATATATTTTATTGACAAGCTTGTATAGGTTATGGATCCCAAAGCTTAGTTTGACCTGTTTTATAAATTTTAGCATATATGTACGTTGAATATATAATTTACATTCTACGAAAGTGGCATATAAGAACAAATTATTTAATTAAAAGATAATACTTATTATCTGACAAATAAAATAAACATTTCCGATAGCTGCTGTTTTTGGAGACAAAAAAGCTTAGTTGCAAAGTATTTTTAACCTTTATTATAAAAGTCGGTCTATCATAAATTATTGCATGAAACAATAGTGTTCTTAAGAATACACTATTCTGCTTACTTAAAAAATTCAACATTTGCCCCGAACTTATGGGGTTACTTCACGATCTTTAATTTCGTTTTGCAATGCAAAACTTGCCTTTTGGATGCATTGTTCTTTCGCTTGTATTCAGTGAATTAAATATTTTAGTTGCTTGTGTGCAATATTTACGGTAATGTTGTTATTAGTTAATTGTTTTTGTTTTGAAAGTATTTTATCAATATTTTATATGTTTGTGACTTCTGACGTTTTTTATTCTTGAAGTGTTAACAGGTTCAGTTCAAAGTCTTCAAAATAATACAGGAATTGCAATAATATCCAACATATTCTATCGACAAAACGGCTTGGCGTTGCCGAAAACTAACGACCGAACCAAAACGTTGATAGCACGTGCTAGGTGTTTAGGCAGCTGCACTTTCATTACATATTGCCACAGTGTCCATTATGTGCTCTGTGTTCTATTCGGATTTATTCTTTGGGTTTTATTAATGACTATCCTATTTCTGCCATATTACCCTATTGGTTATGTGTAGTTTTTTTGAGCAGTGTAAAAACTTTGCACACATCATAAAACTTTGCAAATTTATGTTTTTTTCCCACTTTTTGTGTTAAAAAAATCTTTAATTATGGGAATATTTCGCTGTTTTTAAACCAAAATAATGGTATAATGTCTCAGATCCATATCCATCCAGTGATTTGACTGTAACTCATAGCTCAAAGAATAGGGAGTTGTTTTTAAAATATTTATAAGTTAGCATTTTCTATTATAATGATAAAAATAATATGTATCATATAAATTTCGTACGTTTAAGTTATTTCTTATTTTCTCAAATTGTATTTGAAGTTTATTTCCTGCCACGAGACACCGCCATGTTAATTCCTAAATTTTTTATCTTATTTGTAGATCTTTTAAAAGCGCTTAACTGGCTTACCGCCTGGCAGTTGGAAACAACGGTCAAACGGGTCGAGCAACAGCAGCGTAATGGGAAGGATGCGTTTGAAACGCGTAACAATATCCAGGTCTTTGCTGCTCAAAAGCTTTCTATAATATACGGCGAGGTGAGAAGCCTAACCCTTTTCTAGATTTGAGAATAATATTAAGCGAGATGGGAATTTTTTAGCGTACCATCTACTACGTGTTTTATAAGTTTGTGCGCAGCCTGCCCGACTCTGCTGAGAAGCAGGTGCTGCAGCAGGTACTCTCCTTCTATGGCGCACATTTGGTCATTAAGTACTCTGCTGTTTTTTACCGCGGTGGCTATTTTCGCGAAAACTCGCAACAACTAGACCTGTACGAGCAGGGCATCTTGGGTTTACTTCCCCTTCTGAAGGATGAAGCCATTGCTCTGGTGGATGCCATTGCCCCCTCTGACTTTATTCTAAACTCACCCCTGGGAATGAGCGATGGAAATGTAAGTGGTCTCTTGTAACAAATACCTTCTCTTGCCAACAAATCTAAATTTTCTGCAGGTCTACCAGCATCTTCAACGCACGATTGTTTCCACTCCAGGTGTATACGAGCGCCCCCATTGGTGGCGAGATGTTACTTTCAAGGACTACCTTAAGCGCGCCAAATTGTAGTTTTATAGAAACTGGCCGCACTTACATTCGCACTTGTGCAATATTTATATTAAGCTTTTGAAGTTTCTTTTCATTTGATGTACGAGTGTATGTATTAACCAGGAGATTTTGATACAAACCCCTAATCATGTTAAACACAACGTATAAACCCATTAAAATTAATACAGTAACGTGACATAATTGTTTCTGAAAATGTTACAGAACAAGAGGAAGAATATGGCGTGAGCGTGTTATCTTATTTTAAGTACTAAGGACAACTCTTTCGATATGGCGCAAGCGGAAAACATTAAATTCTGACATATATTTATAATTACCAGAGTCGTAAATAACCATTTTTTCAATTTTAGTAGCATCAATAGCCATTAGAAAACGTAACAGTTAGAAATTTAAAATGCAAATCACTATTAAATAGCTATTTTTGTCGTTTGGCCAATTGCCCTTGATGGAATGCGGCTTGTGATTGTTGTTCTAGCTATACCGAGGTCGGGGACTTTTATCGATGTAGGGGCAGATTGATGGTTGTCTAGCCCGATCAAAAGCCACTCCTTTTTCGTACAATTTTATTCACCTACAATTCGATTTAAACCATGTTCAATACTAAAAGTTGATCTACACAGAAGCTGCAAGCAACGGCTTTTATTATGTTTCCTAAATTCTTGAGAACAAAGTCAAAATCTTGTGAAATAGAATATAAGAAAATTACAAAAAAAAAACTTATGCAAGAATGTTATGCTGACTGTTATGCTTCGCTCTTCTTGATCTGCTGCAGACACAGCTCCACTCAAAAAAACAGCTACCCAAACCGTTATGTTCTGATTATTATACTTAAATTGTAAAAAAAACACCTTTATGGTTAATTCGGGCAAAAAAAGGCCTATTTTCATGAATTTTTTTACACGATACGGTTAATGTCAGATCAATTATTTTATAAGCATATCAAAGTACAACATTTAATTTCATCGAAAAAAAAAATAAATGAGCCGTTCGTAGCCATTCTAAAACAAGAAAGAACGCTATAGTCGGGTGCCTCGATTATTAGATACCCGTTACTCAGCTAAACAACTGTGTACAATGTAAATACATACATATGTATATGCTTACATACATACACACATACGCCATTGTTTGACTCAGACCTCCAAATGGGCTGACTTGATTTGATTTGCATAGTTCTTGGGACATAGTTCGGTATTGACAAATGAAAACCATCCCAATTTCCTTTAATATAAATCCTTATCGAGAATTAACGTTGACTCTGTTGAGCACCTTGGCCAGCTGTTCCAAAGTCATCCGTTAGATGGCGCCATGAAAGGCGGAAATGTAGGCGCTAGCCAGGCTTAAGCGTTTAATGGGTTTTTGGGCGTTAGAGTGGGCGTGGCAAACTTTTATTAGGCCAATCGATAGGTATTGACGAAACAAATATATATCAATTAAAATTTTCATAATAGCATCAAAACTGTGGCCACAGCTTGTGGCTTGTGGGCGTCAGAGGGGGCGTGGCACCACTTTGAAACAAACTTGCGCTGCGTAGGAACTCCTAAAATCTACATGCCAAATGCCAATCTTCTAGCTTTTATAGTTTCCGAGATCTCAGCGTTCATACGGACAGACAGACAGACAGACAGACGGACAGACAGACGGACAGACGGACATGACTAGATCGACTCGGCTAGTGATCCTGAACAAGAATACATATACTTTATAGGGTCGGAAACGCTTCCTTCTACCTGTTACATACTTTTGCACGAATACAATATACCCTTTTACTCTACGGGTAACGGGTATAATTAAGGGCGTTCCTTTCTAAAATCTAAGGCAAAGGGCCCTAAAAACAAGAAAAACTTTTCTAAAAAATAGAAAAATATTTCTTAAAAGTGGTTATCTTAGAGTATTTTTTTTTTTAATTAGAAGAGAGAGAGAAATTATGTACAATTATGATTTATTTCAGTTCTCACAAGGAAACTCCAATAAGTATCTCTACCCGAAAAAACTTATAATTTTATTAGTCCGTCGGTGGGATTCGAACTCAGGTCTCCCGCGCATGAATTCAAAGACATCGAATAGAGTCACAGTCGCGCGCGATGAACGCGCGTCAAAACCAAGGACCATATGATGAGGTGTTAGCGAAGAATATTAGTTTGAAATGTTTTTTAGAAAGTAGAAATATTAAAAAAAAATGTTCTAAGATGATATTTCATATGACAAAAAATATTTTAATTACTTTTCAATAAAGGGTAATACTTTTAGTCGTTCTAAACATTACTTCTCATGTGTGTTTATAACACAAGTAGGGCCCGACGGCATCTGAAATTGAACTTGCGGTGCTTAGATTTCTCGTCAGACGTCAGGGTTAGAACAATTTTATGGTCAGGGTGTTATATTTTAGAAAATGTTTCCTATGTTATAGAAAATCTATATATATAAAAATGGTGCAAAAAATGTACGCCATCGCAAAACAAGAGAACGGCTGGGCCGATTTGGCTCAAATTTTTTTTCAGTTGTTTGTAATTGCCAGAAGAAGGTTAATACATAAGAAAATTTTGGAAAGCCTGCCGGAAAAGTCGCTATCGGCTCAAGAGATGTATTTATTGTTGTACATAAAACTGTTAAAACAGCAGTCTTTGGAAATAATGCCTTCATTGTTGTACATAAAACTTTAAAAAATCGAGTTAACGAAACATTGCCAAAGTTTTAATTGGAAATAATGCCTGCTTTTAGATCAAGACTTGGATGGCATTTACGCAATGCGATACATTCTCAGAATGTCCGTAATAATCGAACGCAAGAGGTACGTGCAGAAATAAATGCATCGGCACAAAGACCACCTCAAGCCCGACAAAATGTGAGTAGAAGAAGACCAGCCGCAAATGAAAACTTGAATCGCGCTGCATTCGCATACAATTCCGAAACACCCTACAAAGATCATAGCTGCGTTGTTATTGGTTCATTGTCTGTCGTATGTCAGCATTGCAATGCACTGAAGTTTCGATTGGAAACCCCCGGCTTATGCTGTGCAGGTGGCAAAATTAAATTGCCCGTTTTTTCTCATCCACCAGAGCCATTGTATTCGCTACTATATGGAAATTCAGCCCAGAGGAATCGTCTCTAAGCATGGACAGAAGTCAGCGTTCCCAGTTCTGGGACAGGCTCCCACTGTTCGGAATGGGTGTGCGTCGGTCGAAACCGAGACGGAAAGCTATGCAAGCTGTGAGGAACCGTAGAACGGCCCTCACAATTTACTTTGTAGCAATGTAGGAATTTGTAGCCATGTAGAATTTTTGTAGCCATGTAGGATTTTTGTAGCCATGTAGGATTTTGTAGCCATGTAGGAATATTTTTAGTTTAGCTTTTTAATAGCCAACGCAGCAGTTGCACACAGTTGAACCATCGAACGCCTGAGCGCGACCAACGCGCTCTCGCTCTCTTCTTCACACACTTCAAAACATCAGCGGCTGCACACAGTTGAACCATCAAACGCCTGAGCGCGACCAACGCGCTCTCGCCCTCTTCCTCACACACTTCAAAACACCAGCGGCTGCACACATTGGAACCATCGAACGCCTGAGCGCAACCAACACACTCTCGCCCGCTTCGAACAGTTTGAACACCTGCACAAAGCCAACACACACATAAGCTTTTCGTCGCACGATCGAACCAAATCGCAACCAACCCGACCGATGTTTTCGAGCAAGGGGAAAAGAATTTCGCACGATCGAACCAGATTGCAACCGACCCGACCGATGTTTTCGAGCAAGGGGAAAACAATTTCGCACGATCGAACCAGATTGCAACCGACCCGACCGATGTTTTCGAGCAAGGGGAAATAATTTTGCCTGCAAACTGCCGAAGCGCAAGCGCAGCGGCAGCGACGCCGACGCAATGCATGGGGAACGCGCGCCAATATCAAAAGAGGGGAAAGGCAATTACTCTTGAGGCTTCGTGCGTGCCAGACTAGAGATCCAGACGTGACAAACCCGGGAAAACTACCCCGCTGTGAAAATTTTTCGGACAAGTGCGTAAAACGTGCAATAAAAATGGAAAACGAGTGCGGTGATGTGGATGGAGTGCGCGACGCTATTCCCGCTGCGGAGGCATGGGAAATCAACTGGCTGGACTTGCTGTGGACGGAAACGTAAGCGTCTAATATATATTTTCCGGATATTTTGTTTTGAAAACATGAACTGGACTGGAGTTTTGTGACAAGGAGGCTCTGTACACCCCCTTGCACAAAACTTAAATAAAAAAACGAAATATTTGAAACCTAAAGAAAACTATTTGTCTGACCGTGTTTTGTGTGTGAGTGAACATAGGAGGGGAATGGGAACTGTTTTTTTCTCTTGCCTCCATCTAGGAAAACCCATGTTTCTCTGCCGATCGTTGCCGGACCGCGTGGTGGCCAAGGATTACGACGGAGTCTTGCACTCGTTTGTCGGATCCGAAGCCATTGCCGGCCCCGGGGCACGTAGCGGCCGCGGATTACGACGGATTGTCGGGTCCCGGAGCACGCTGGAATTTTTTTTTCCTGGGGAAAACGGGAAGGGAACATTTAAATCGGTGTGGTTGAAAAACAAAAAACAATTTTTTTTTCTCTCCTCTCTCGCTTCCCACGTTGTCCCGAACGCGGTGGACACGTGGCCGGCGACTATAAGAGGAGCACACCGGGCTACCAGAAGGCAGTCAAGCTCCGGCCCTCAAGCGGGGAACATCGTCGCGAACAACAGACTTCTGTGAACATTCGGCATCCTAGCCCGAATCCTAGTACCGCGCGCACCAACCAGGACCCCCGAGTCCTGTAAACATTCGGCATCCTAGCCCGAATCCTAGTACCGCGCGCACCAACCAGGACCCCCGAGTCCTGTAAACATTCGGCATCCTAGCCCGAATCCTAGTACCGCGCGCACCAACCAGGACCCCCGAGTCCTGTAAACATTTGGCATCCTAGCCCGAATCCTAGTACGGCGCGCACCAACCAGGACCCCCGAGTCCTGTAAACATTCGGCATCCTAGCCCGAATCCTAACACCGTGCGCAACCAAAGGACCCCGAGTCCTGTGAACATTCGGCATCCTAGCCCGAATCCTAGCACCGCGCGCATCAACCAAAGGACCCCGAGTCCTATAAATATTCGGTATCCTAGCCCGAATCCTAGCACCGTGCCCAAAAAGGACCCCCGAGT